CTGAAAATAGACTTGCATACATAAATGTTTGGAAAGTTTAATTTGACTACTAAGAAGTAATTAGATGCTTGGGTTATGAGGAGAAAGTTTGCCCTGACCCTAATTAAGTCAAAAGACATCTCACGCAAGCACTTTCAAGCCAGATTCATTTTGCACCACTCTCGTTCAAGCCTGCTTCTCCATAAACTGCACAGCAAGCATTTTCTCTTGAGTGATTTAAAAAATAATCAGTATGGTATTTGTGGTAAGTACGAAAGGAGATAGACAAATAGAAGTGGTTTACAGCCTTCTATGAGAAGATGTGGTAACTGGGCCCTGGAGTATTCTTATGATTGCTCTCATATCCTTTAAAAATGAAATGATCTACAAACATTCGATGAGCTGATCTTCCAGACTTCTTATTTTGATGTTTATCTCACATAATACAATACAGTGCAAATTCATCTAGGCAGCATAGTTTGCCTGGCCGTTCAATGGGTAGATATCTTTTATACTGTACCAAAGAATTGCTTTTTAATTCATAACCAAAATATTGCCCCACAAAAATGATACATGTGCATTGAAATCCTACTCAAAATAATACCCCTTGAAGTAAGTGAGGTAACGTTCAGAGCTCAAAGGCTAAAAATGTACTGGGTTGTTTCATTAATACTCTAATGTCCGTGGTTGACTGGTTGACTCTCAGCATAATCTGTCTCACAGGACTATTGTAAAGATAAAATGGAGAGGAGGGTTATGTAAGCTGCCTTGGATCCCTTGCAGAGGAAAAGTGGGATAATAAATACATAAATAAATGACTTGTACCTATATGTTGAATTGCACTCTTCAGAAAACAGATCCATTTCACAACATTTTCAAATCCGAGAGAGAAGGAGGGAGGGAGGGAGATCAGGTAAAAATCCAGATAATTTCTATCAATTTTTCTATCTCTTCCCCTGAATAAGAACAGCGCAGCTAACTACAGATCACTAAGCCAGTCTGAAGCCCAAATAACACAATACAAGTTGTTGTTGCGAAGTCGTGTCCGACCCATCGTGACCCCATGGACAACATTCCTCCAGGCCTTCCTGTCCTCCACCATCCCCCAGAGTCCACTTAAGCTCACACCAGCTGCTTCAGTGGCTCCATCTAGCCACCTCATCCTCTGCCATCCCCTTCTTTTGCCATCCATTGTTCCCAGCATTAGGCTCTTCTCCAGGGAGTCCTTCCTTCTCATTAGGTGGGCAAAGTATTGAGTTTTATCTTCAGTATCAGACCTTCTAAAGAGCAGTCAGGGTTGATCTCTCTAGGACTGACAGGTTTGATCGCCTTGTGGTCCAAGACACTTGCAGGAGGCTCCTCCAGGACCACAATTCAAAGGCCTTGATCCTTTGGCGCTCAGCCTTACTTATGGTCCAGCTTTCCCAGCCATACATTGCAACTGGGAAAAACATAGCCTTGACTATATGCACTTTTCTTGGCAGGGTGATGTCTCTGCTTTTTAGCAGGCTGTCTAGATTTGCCATAGCTTTCCTCCCCAGGAGCAAGCATCTTTTAATTTCTTGGCTGCAGTCCCCGTCTGTGGTGATTTTGGAGCCCAGCAAAATAAAATCTGTCACTACCTCCATTTCTTCCCCATCTATTTGCCAGGAAGTGAGAGGACCGGATGCCATGATCTTAGTTTTCTTAATGTTGAGTTTCAAGCCAACTTTTGTGCTCTCCTCCTTCACCCGCATCAAGAGGCTCTTTAGTTCCTCTTCACTTTCTGTCATGAGAGTGGTATCATCTGCATATCTGAGGTTGTTGATATTTCTCTCAGCAGTCTTGATTCCAACTGATGATTCATCTTGCCCCGACTTACTCATGATGTGCTCTGCATATGTTAAATAGGCAGGGAGACAGTATACAGCCTTGCCGAACTCCTTTCTCAATTTTGAACCAATCAGTGGTTCCATGCCCAGTTCTAACTGTTGCTTCTTGACCCACATATAGGTTTCTCAAGAGACTAATAAGATGGTCTGGTACTCCCATCTCTTTAAGAACTTGCCACAATTTGTTGTGATCCACACAATAAAAGGCTTTAGCGTAGTCAATCAAGCAGAAGTAGATGTTTTTCTGGAACTCCCTAGCTTTCTCCATGATCCAGTGTATGTTGGCAATTTGATCTCTGCTTCCTCTTCCTCTTCGAAATCCTGCCTGTACTTCTGGTAGTTCTTGGTCCACATACTGCTGGAGCCTAGCTTGCAGGATTCTGAGCATCACTTTGCTAGCATGTGAAATGAGTGCAATGGTGCAGTAGTTTGAACATTCTTTGGCATTGCCCGTCTTTGGGATGGGAATGTAAACTGACCTTTTCCAATCCTGTGGCCACTGTTGAGTTTTCCAAATTTGCTGGCATATTGAGTGTAGCACTTTTACTGCATCATCTTTTAAGATTTTGAATAGCTCAGCTGGAATACTGTCACCTCCACTAGCTTTGTTGTTGCTCAGACTTCCTAAGGCCCATTTGACTTCACATTCCAGGATGTCTGGTTCGAGGTCAGTACAAGTACCAGCAGCAAATACAGTATGGAAGCAAACTTCTGTTTGCAGTCAGAGCTGAGCCTGTGCACCATTTTAATTTAAATAAACTCCCTGAAACGAGAGTAGAAGCTAGTTCAGCTAGCTGGGCTATTGCACCTCGTGGCTTTTTACCCTTGTAGGATGCATGCCCCCAAAAGTCGTTCTCATTGGTTGGCCTAGTAGCTAATCAGTTAGCTGGCAGCAGAATGAACTTTCACCTGGGCACGCACAAATCAGGTAGTGGTCCTGGTAAGCAGCTTTAAGAAAAAACCTGTCTGTTAAACACTGAGACCATGGATTTAATAGGTTTGGTTATTTTAAAGCTGGTAACTGAAGTTTCTCAATTTGAGTGAAATGGGAAGCTGCAGTTAATGAGGACTTCCTGATTTATTTGCTCACTTCCTGTTTCATTTGTTCACACAGAAGAGCAAAATGACCTTGCATGCAGCCAAAAGGTCAACTCATTAAGCTGACACACAATCGTTTGAACAGATCAATTATGTTTGATGGGGCTTACTTCTTACTGAGTGTTCAGGATTGCAGACTAAATCTTGGCTTTACTCTATTCCTGATGGAGTTATCAGCAATTTGATCAGCAGTGTTATTTTTATACTGGCTGAGGGATGTAAACTGCAGGTTTCTCCCAGATTGATTGTATCTGACCCTACCAAAAAAGAGATAGGGAGAGAGAGAGAGAGAGAGAGTGAGTGAGTGAGAGAGAGAATGAGTCCACAATTTCACCTGTCAGAGCAGTGTGTTCAGGTTGTAAAAGCCTGAAATTTTCATACTTTCCAAAAACATTCCATGCTTTGTTTTGTTTATTTGTTCCTTATTGTAAACCATCCTGAGATGTCAGTGGTGGGTGGGGTAGAAAAGTTTTAAGTTAATATAATATATAATATATCTCTGGTTTTGCTCTTTTGTGTAACATAGATTTAGCTATATGTGTTATGCCCAAATTTCTGTGTATAGTGCCAACATTAATATGGTAAAATGTCCACATGTGTGTGGGAGGGTAGGAGTACTGATCAGTTTGTGCCACCAAACTCCTTTCTGGTTTCCAGACCACATTCGGTAGTGTACAGTGGCTAGAGCAGCCAGGGGAGAGGATTCATGCTTCTTTAATTGTTGTGGAGAGGATGGAATTTCAGTGGGTGTTTCCCTGACCTGTTTTTCACCTGTTGGTCCTACTGATGGATACTGAAATTTGCATCTAAGGAGGCTTAGGGTACAGTCTGGTGCATGTTTAAAGGAAAAACCCTACAATTCCCAACATTTCACAGCTAGCTGTGCCTTGAGCTGTAGAAACTCTGTCAAATTTGCACATTTTTCAATTGGGAAATATTCCAGATTTCATGGCTTGTAACTAAATAGAGGGGAAATGTAATGCAATTGCTTCCACTTACTTCCCAGTCATGACATTTGTGTATATTTCCCAGTTAAAATTTAAAAATGCACATTTTTTCATACAGGTTTAAAAAAACCGTTAGGGATGGTAAAATGGGGTGGAACAAGTGGGGTGCCGGAACCTGCCATACATACTCCCCCCATGTGATCCCATCCATTCAGTTCCAGTCAGATTTGTCCTCAGAATTAAAAAAAACTGTAAAGGATTGGCAGCAATGGTAGGAGTGAGTGCACTGAAAGGGGTGGGGGACCCCCTTTTAGCATATATATATTGTTTCCACTTGATTGGTGCTTTTCCATTGACAATTCAAATGAGTCTATAGGCATCTCCTTTTGTCAATTTCCATCCATGTTACCAACTTCAGTCCTTTGGGCAGCTGAAATTTCCAAGGACATCGACAAGGCAAGGATACGTATATGGAACAGTCATACGTGCTCGTTTGCACATCTTTGAAAGACTGGCTTTAAAAAAAAATCCCTTTTTGGTGCACACATTTATGGGGATCAAAAAATCATGGTGGTGAACCAGTGACACTTTGCCCTCCAAAGTGCTGCTCGGGCAAGGCTGGACAGGCTGATACCGACAGCAGCACAAGCAAGATTGTGAAGTGCAGCAATGGGGCCTGACTGGTCTTCCCAAGCAGCTCTCTAGCAGATCCAAGCAAGTCATCATGAAATTGAACTCTTGGGTTTGGATGACATGAGAACCCATCATGGCTTGAACAATCCCTAGAACAAGCCATGGGTTGCAAAGCAGGCAGGCTGCAGCCAGCATCACTAATTACCCCTCAATGGGTCACTGTGTTCACCCATTGTGTTGACCCTCAATGGGTCAGTGAGTCTCTGAGTAGCATTTTAAGGTGGCTGCAGGAGCTCCCATGGAAAGGGGGATTCATTTTCACCAACTAAGTTAATCCAACTTAAATCTGGATCCATCGCTAGCATTTACTCTTAACTGTAGTACGTGGCTAAGCAGCCTCCGAGCTTACCAACTGTTGTGTTTCCTTCTCACTTCACACAATTCATCAGCATGAGATTTATCCACATGGTGTTTTCTCTTAGGTGGAAATCCTTGACTGGAAGACAAAACAACAACTATGCTTTTTGGAAAAGGTAAATAATTGCAGTGTTATTACCACATCCGTATAGCATTTTTGAGTGCTTTAGGTGTTTTAAATATATTCTGACAGTAATATTTAAAACAACCCTAAGAGACAAGCTGCTTTTGTCTCTATTTCATCAGTCACTCCAAGTTTATGAGATAGTGGGTTGGAAAATCTATTGGGGTGGGGAAGATAATGGCCCTCAAATCTTGGCAGGGAAATATATTGCAGAGGAGCAGCAGTTGCTTGGCAACATGACATAACACACCATGTGGAAGGCAATGCCTATTCAGGGATGCAATAAAAACAGGGACAAGAGGGGATGCAGTCCTCCTAAATTAGGACAAGAGACCCAGAGAAACTGCGAGAGAGGTCAGTATCATTATTTCCATGTTGCAGATAGAGCTGCTAACCAGTTTTTTCTTCTTTCTCTTAAGATTAAAAAGGAACTGAGCAGCTTGAAATGTCTTTTCAAATGCGTGCATGCTTTTTGATACATTTTTTTCTTACCTAGGTTGAGCCACACACTACAATATGTGATATCAGGCTAATGTTCCACAAAATATGTAAGTATTGGTATTTCAAAATACTGATTTAAAAGTGAAGTCAGTGTTTAGGAAAACTGGAATTATATGTGTTGCATGGAATCTGGAGAAAACACCAAATGTCATAAGCTTTGTACAGATTCGTGTTCAAGTTTTTATCTTAATTGGAGAAGAGCTAAGCCATGGCAAGAAGGTCTGGACTGATGCAGCAGTGTAGGTTTGCAAAGCTATTTTTTCCTTCTTTGCATAAGCAGAAAACAAATCACTTAAGAAGTCCCAGTGGAAATAATACATATGGTCTAGCAATAACTACCAGGAAGTATAAAAGGTGGATATATGAGAGGGAGGATAATTAGTATGAATTCAGAGAATTTGTAGTCCACAGAGGATGAATTGGAAGGTCTGAGCACTATGTAATTGGGAGGATTTTTAAAAAAGTGTATACAGTGCCTTCATTGTATACATTTAGAAGTCAGGTTAAGATAAATAGTTGTGGATTTCTTTTATCCCTACAGATCCTCAGTGGTATCCAGCAAGGCAGTCTATAAGACTTGACCCCAGTAAGTATTAACTGAACATTAGAACATAAGAAAAACCATGTTGGATCAGACCAAAGTCCATCTAGTCCAGCATTTTGTTCACACGTTGGCCAACCAGCTGCCTACAGGAAATTCACAAGCATATAACCAGCAGGGCTAGTAGTCACTGATAGCCTTCTCCACCATGAATATGTCTACTCCCCTTTTAAGGCCTGCACTACTTCTTGGGCAGTGAATACCATAGTCTAACTATGTTTTGTGTGAAGCAGTACTTCCTTTTATCTGTCCTGAAGCTCCTACCAATTGGCCAGATTCTACTGACCCCAGAATCTAGCATTATAAGAGAGAGAGAAACCTGTCTCCCTCTCCACTTTCTCCACTTCATGCATAATTTTGGACACCTTTGTCATGTCTTCCCTTACTCTCCTTATTTCTAAGCTAAACAATTGCAGATGTACCTTTTCCTTACAGAGAGTTGTTCTTGATAATTTTTGTTACCCTTTGCTGCACTTTTTCTACAATATCGTTTTTAGGTGTACACAGTATTCTAGGTGTGGTTACATCATTGATTTACATAAGGGCAGTATGATAATAGCTGTTCTATCTGTAATACTTTTCTGATTTTGCCTAACACAGAGGGTGTCTTTTTCACAGCAGCTACACACTGGATCATCTGATGTGCTTTAGTTGTTGTTAAGCTCAAAGCAATTGCAGTTAAATAAAAGTCCCTATCATGATAGCATGATATTACTCAAATATCATTCAAGATTTCACAACCTTGTTAACTTGTATAAATGGGAAAGGCACTATCAGTGAAGAGATGTGTAAACTCTAGCTATAGCAGTGGCCAGTTCTGACTTCAGGATGTTGGGGGTCTGTAGGCAAGACACAGTGTGACTCATTAATCTAGAAGAGGCAAATACACAACTGAGAATGGTTTTTTGCTCACTTTTAACTTTCTTGGGTCCTCTGTGTAGATGGAGAATGGAAATACTGCCAGGGTACTTATTCTGTGATGGTCTCAGGCCCTTGGCAAATAGTCCATTACTCTTTCCTGGACAGGAAAAGAAGTGATGATACAAAATTATGTAGATAAAGCAATTGCCATGCAACACTTCTTGCTATGAATTTTATCCCCACAACTAATCAAACTTCTTGATCCTCCAAAATATGTACTGAAGAAGGGGCTGCAGTTCAGTTGCACAGCACATACTGTGCAGATACAAGGTTCATATTTGGAATGTACAACATTTCCAGTTAAGGCAGGGATGTAGAACCTCGGGTTCATGAGCCAAATTAGTCTGCCTGGAATCCCAGTTTGGCCCTTTGGGCTCCCCCAGAAGATCATGTATCACCTTCCCCCAATCATTTGGTTGTTTCCTGACTTTTGCAGGATTTTCCCCATTCTGAAAAGTTGAAATGTTTCTTCTGAGGCTAAGTTACAGGCACTAAGAGCTAAAATACAATGGTATTTTTCAATGTGCTTTGTATTTAAGCACTACTCCATTTTCCCTTAAGTACTGCCACCATGAGAACATGATCACAAAAACTTCACTAAAATAGAATGTGTCCCTCAACTTGAAAGAGAGGACACCTCTGAATTCTGTTCAGATGGTTAGCCATTTGGTTACAATGTATGGAAGTTAATTCCATAGTTTAACTATGTGCTGCTTGTTTATCTGTCCCATCGATCAACTTCATAGGATGACTCTGGGTTTTAATATGAGAGAGGGAGAAAAGTGTTTCCCTATCCACTTGCTCCTCACTGTGCATAATTTTGCACACAGTAGAAGGTATTGGGGTGGTAGAAGAGCTAAAAGTCTCCAGCCATGAGCTGTAATACAACATACCTGGGAGACCACTAGCTTGGGAAAGTGCAATTTAATTTGCTGCTTGTTAATTTTCACATTTCTTCCCTATTTCTTCAAATGAGCACAGGATTTGACTCATGCATCCAGGACTCACAGCGACATATCAACAGTTGTATTAGTAGGGATACCGATGTCATCTATCCCTACCCGAAGAATGTCCAATTCCCTCTGAGCTTAGTTACAGTTCTTGTGGGCACTTATTTTTCCCAGCAATAATATTTTATTTCCTATGATAATACAAATTATTTTTGGTGGCTAGGTCTTGAATTCAGATTTACACAGTTTACAAAGGACCTGTTCCCAGAGAAGATGAAAACTGCTAGAATTAGTGGACTGGCATAGCTGTGGAGATTGTCATGATGAGTGCTTTGATTACACATTTACCCTTATACCACTTAATTTGGCTTGCACAAGGACTTGGATTCCAGTTAAGTCTCCCTGTTTAAATGGAGAAGTGTTGGTTCAGTGCTGATAGATCCACAGAATGTACAAACTGATAAATGGTCACATAGTTTTTTTTCGGATGTGAAGGATTATAACTTTTCTTTTCTTCTTCTCAGAAGGAAAATCACTGAGGGATGAAGAAATCCTTCAGCTGCTCCCCGTTGGCACAACTGCTACACTCTATTTTAAAGATTTAGGGCCCCAAATAGGATGGACTATGGTGAGCTTTAAAGCCTGAAAAGTTTAATAATGGATTTACTTTCATGATTCCTTACATCACTTTTTTTGTCTCAGTGTAAAGTTCTTGTGTGTTCTTTAGTTGTCCAGAGTTAGCTCTTCTCTCTCATTCCTGCCCCTCCTCCTCTCTGTTACTCTGCACTTGGTGGGTTGAAGAATCCACATGGCGGGGAGGGGGGATATAATTGCCACAAAAACTTGGCAGGAAAATACATTGCAAAGGAGCAGTGGTTGCTTGGCAACATGATAAAACATAGCAAAGGAAGGAGAGGACTATTAGGGGATACAGAAAAACAGGGGGAGGAGAGGAGTCCTCCAAACTTAGGACAAGAGGCCCAGTGTGAGAGAGAGAGATCAGCTGCTTGATCTAGTCTTATGGAATGGGCCCTTCTTTGGTAAAATAAACTGACTTCTAGCATCACTTCCCTGTTAAAATGTCTGAGTGCCAGTAGCAGCAGAAATTAAACTGATGAAATGTTTGCTAGCTGAAAGATGTAGTAATGTGGACCTTTTACCTGTTGGTTTTCTGCCTGTCACATCAGAAACACAGCTATTTGATTTCATTTGGGGGAAAATATATAGATACATAAATGAAAAGCTGGAGTGAAAGACTTATCAAGACAAGGTTGGAATTTGTGAACACAGCAGGTAGGGTCCAAACCCTCCTCTCCTTCATGTTTTTTTCCTTGTTATGCACTGATAACTTGATAAACAACTATTTACATATTGATATTTAAAGACTATGAATATATTATATAATCAGACTAAGGACTGATCCTTCCAAGCAATTTTTCTCATGCTAACTCCTTTTCCATTTGCGTTATCTTACAAAATGGAGATAGATAGTAGACCAATGCCTTATATACGTATTTCAATAAAAATCCATTTTCTTTAAACTAGTTTACAAGTTAGAAATGTACAGTCACCTCTGCCAGGTGACTTTAACTGCTTTAAGATATCTTCATTTATTGTCTGATTGTCTAGGGCAAGTACACCGATCAGAAGAAACCACGTATTTACTTATATTTATGGCATTGTTATCCTGCTGTTCCTGCAGAGAATTCAGGGGATCATAGAATAGTAGAGCTGGAAGGGGTCAGAGAACCATCAGGTTCAACCCTTTGCTCAATACAGGACTCCAAATTAAACCTCTTAGATGGCTCTTGAATCTGTAGCATCTTGAATGCCTTGTGTGTGGGCTAGCCCACAACCTCTCTAGGTAACTGGTTCCACATGTCCTGATAGCTGGACACTTCGGGATAATTGAGACGAGATCCTGTCCTTCCTCTTCGGGACAGCCTTTCAAATACTTGTAGAATGCTATCACATCTCTCCCTCAAGCTAAACATGCCCTGTTCTTTCAATCCCTCTGCACAGGACTTTGTTTCCAGTCCCTGGTTCATCCTGATTGACCTATTCTGAACCCTTTCCAGCTTGTCTGCATCTTTCTTAAATGGTGGTGCCTGGAACTTGGCACAGTACCCCAAATGAGGCCTAACCAGTGCTGAGTAAAGGGGAAGTAGTACTTCACATGATTTGGAAGTGACACTTACATTAATAAAGCCTAAAACAGTATTAGCCGTTTTTGCAGCCACATCACATTGTTGGCTCATGTTCAGCTTGTGATCTGCAACTCCAAGATCCATTTCACTTGTAGTATTATTGAGCCAAGTATTCCCCATCTTGTAACAATGCATTTGGTTTCTTTTTCCTAGGTACAGAACTTAGCTTTTGACCCTATTTAATGTCATTCTATTGTTTTCAGCTCAGTACTCCAACTTATTAAAATCACCTTGAATCTCATTTCTATCTTCCAGGATATTAGCTATGCCACCCAGTTTTGTGTCAAATTTGATAATAATTTGCTGCAGTTCCTCATCCAAATCATTAATAAAAAAATTGAAGAGCACTGAGCCCAAGACTGAACCTTGCAGTGCTGCACTTGTAACTTCTCCCCAGTTTGAGAAAGTGCCATTCATGAGCATCCTTTCAGTTCAATTCTGTAGCCCACTGTGGATTCACCTGATGGTTGTTCCATTTAGCCCTCTTGTCAGCAGCTTTGCAGAAATCAAGATAGATTTTGTCCACAGCATTTCCACAGTCCATCTGGGAGCTTTTCCAATCAAAACATGAACTCAGATTAGTCTGGCAGGATTTGTTCTTGAGAAATCTGTGCTGGCTTCTGTTAAACACTGCATTGTTTTCAAGGTGTTCACAGACTGACAGCTTTATAATCTGCTCCAGAATTTTCCCAGGGGTTGATGTTGGACTGACTGGTCTGTAGTTCTCAGGTTCTTTCTTTCCCTTTTTTCAAGATAGGGACAGAATTAGCCCTTCTTCAGTCATCCAGCACTTTTCTTGTCCTCCATGATTTATCAGACAGTGGTTCTGAGAGTTGTTCCTTTATGACTCTAGGATGAAGTTCATTGGACCCTGGAGATGTGAACTTATTCAGCCCAGTTAGATGATCCTTGAGCATTTGTCTATCAATCCTGAGCTGTCATTCTGCTCCTTCAGCTTGTACTTCCCCTTCATCAGGAAGGTCACAGTTCTTTTTTTGGGAGAAGACTGAGCCAAAGGAGGAATTGAGCACTTCTACCCTTTCTTTGTTATCATTTTGCCATTCACACTGAGTAGTTGAACCCCCATTCCTTTCCTCTGTCTTTTACTTTGACCATATCTGAAGAAGGGTTTTTGTTGCTTTTAGCATCCCTCACTAGCCTCAGTTCATTTCTAGATTTAGCCTTTCCAATGCCATCCCTGCAATTCCCTCCCTGTATTCTTCCCTTGTAGCCTGATCTTCCTTCCACTTGCTTTCATGTCTTTGTTTTAAGATCATCTCTAATCCTTTTCTGAAGCCACATGGCCTCCTTTTGTTGTCTTCTACCTTTTTTCCTAGATGGAATTGTTTGAAATTGTGACTTGATAGAATTTCCTTTTTAAAAAATCCCCACCCATCTTGGACTCCTTTTCTCAATTGCCACAGGTCTTTACATATCATTGTTCTGAGTTTATTAAAATTGGCTTTCCTAAAATCCAGGGTACATGTTTGGCTACATTTTGCTTTTGCGTCCTTTAGAATCAAAAATTCAATTATGGCATGGTCACCTTTCCTCAGAGTTCCTGTAGCTGCCACTTTGTCCACTAGGTCTTCCCTCTTGGTTTGTAGAAAGTCAAGGATAGCTGTTCTTCTTGTTTCTACCTCCACATTCTGTTGGAGGAAGTTATCAGCAACACATGTTAGGAATCTCTTGGAGGTACCATATTTGGCAGAATTTGTCTCCCAACAGTTATTGGGGAAATTGAAGTTCCCCATAATGATGACATCATGCCTCCTTGAAACACTGGCAATTTGCTTTTCAAAAGTTTCATCCTCATCATCTTGACTGAGTGATTAGGAATAGACTGCAGTCACTGTGTTCCTTTTATTCCTTGCTCTAGTTACATTAATCCAGATGTTCTTGATGAGGTTACTAGGCTCATCCTCCTTTATTTCTGTGCAGATATTTGTATCTTTAATGTATGGTGTGACTCCATCTCCTTTCTGCTCTTCTTGAACAGGTTATATCGTTCAATTGTTGAATTCCAGTCATGGGAGTTATCCCATCAAGATTCAGTTATACCTGTCTGGTTGTATTCATCCTCCTGTATTAAGAGCTCAAGTACATACCATTTATTTCTGGGCATTAGTATATAGACATCGAAGACCATGTGCTTTATGCTCTAGCTTTCTTCCTACATTTTTGGAAGACTATTCCATGCATGCTTTTCCCATTTATATCTCACTACAACTGAGGATAGCCTGAGAGAAAGTGATTATCGAAAGTGATCCATAAAATTTCATAGGCATTGAATTCAGCTCCAGCAT